CTGCACAGCCATTGGGACCTCCTGGGAAAACTGGTCTCACTCCTCAAACAGCCTGTCTTAAGTCAGATTCCTGTTTTGGATGCCAGGAGCTCAGGGCTTATTCTGTTCTTTTTTAAATGAACGCGCATCAGCTTCCGTCAAAGCAGACCATTTCTGTTTGATCCTGGAAATGTGTCCCTTTGTTGATTAGCTTCGCCTCCTCTTTGGAGCGTCCATTCTGATGTGAACCCCTGGTTCCTCTAGCTCCAATTATGTGCCGCCCAGCTTTCTTCCAGTCTCAGAAGTCAGAGTTGTGAATTCCCTGTAAAACGCTGAGCTGTGCCACCCCAGGCAGGCCTGAGCAGCCTGGGCCAGCCAGTGGCAGATGGCAATGTTTCCAAACTCGTGTAGGACATGTTTCCTACATTCTGTGTAACAGTTTCTTCTTTCAGTGGCTTATTTTCCACTGTTTGGATTCAGGGAAGCAACATTAGATTAGCCAAGACTGTTTGAACCAGCTATAGAAACTCCGTGTAGCAAGAGGCAGGGTGTGCTGGGGGAGGGAACAGAAGAACATTTGATCAGGCAAACCTAGAAAAGGCTGATCATATGGGACTTGAAGAAAGATTCCCCCAAATCATATCTCCTGAAGCTGTGAGGAGCTCCAGAATTCTCTTCATCCTTTTGGGGATTTGTGACCCATCCCAGGTCACAGAAATAGTATTAACCATCTGGAACTCCAGCAATGCCCTCCTAAGCCCACGTCTCTTCCAAACGAATATGGGAAAAGGAGACAGAAAAGACCCTTGATCTCGCAGTCAACCAGACAAGAAGCAACACCTTTTCAGTGTTTACAAAAAGCAAAGACCCTAACCAATTCCTATAACTCAATGGCTTCTCTGTCTACACTGTATGCCAGAAACTCCCAGAACGCTTGATTCTGTTGATGACGGTGGGCCCAGGGCAACCTGTGTTTTTTGAAGTTCCTCCAAGCAAGGTTGGAATCCACAGTTCTGAATAGGACTGAGCGCAAGGATTTGGTTCCACTACATTCTCAGGAGGCCCCTTGCTCCTGGGAGGTAGAAGAGGTGACTGAGTGTACCACTGTGCACTTGACTGATTTTTTTTAAAAAACAGCTTATTAGCCAGGCTGTGGTGGCACACCCCTTTAATCCCAACACTTGGGAGGCAGAGGCAGGTGGATCTCTGTGAATTTGAGGCCAACTTGATCTACAGAGCTAGTTCAGGACAGCCAAGGCTACGCAAAGAAATTTTATCTCGAAAAACAAAACAACAAGAACATATGCTATTGTTTTACTTGTTATTTGTGCGTGCACACACGGAAGTCAGTGGATGACTTTCTGGAGTCTGTTCTCTGCTCCTACCTTATTTCGGTCTACTGCAGACTAGCTGGCCCGTGGGCTTCACCGCGTCCAGCATGAGATCAAAGGCACAAACTTAGGCTTATTTGCCATGATTTTTACTCATTGAACCATTCTACCAGCCAGTGACCTGATGTCCATTACCAAAGGTCCTCAATTTTTACTATCCTCAGAAGCTTTTCAAGGCCCCAATGCCTGGCTGTACCAAAGACTAAGCCAGTCATGATCCCCAGGAACATCAACCTGTGTGAATGCTGTAAACCAGGTAGCCCTGCGAGGGTCTCAAACCAGAGTTGAAAATCGACGTGTCTGGCCGAGTGGGCACTCCTGTGTACCATAGAATGCATCGTCCCTTGTGTTTACCTTGTTCCTGGGAGTATGTGAGTTTCCATCTTGAGGCTGGAGGGCCAGTGGGGGTTCAGGCTGCTGGACTGGCAGATGGTTCTGCCCTTGGCTACGCTTGACCCATAGGAGCAGCTCCCAGCTCCCCCTCACACACAGTAGCAACATACTCTGCTCAACTAAAGTTTGGGAAGACTTGGAACTGGAGGCCAAGTGGGCCATGTGACTGAATTCTGTCCTAGAAGAGATTCTGGCAAGAGAAATAAGATACGCATATAAAAATAGCTGTGCTTAGATAATACAGAACGCAGTGAGTGCCACAGAGGCAGAAAAAAGTAGGTGTGGTATCATAATTTTAAAAAGTTTAAATGCTATTGACTTATTATTTGCAGTGAGGACATGACTTCCAAAAAGTCTATCAAAGTGTGTCATTCACTGGCAGTGATGTGGCACTATCTTTCACTTAGACAAGTCACTAACCTCAAAGTTTTGTTACCATGAACTCCAGAGGAATTGAGATTGTCATTGTCATAGATAGACAGGCTCGTGCAGGGCTTAGGGACTATAAAGGTCATCTTGCCAGCCAGCCTGCCTTGCAGCTGAGAGGAATAATGTACCCTGCCCAAGTCATACAACAAGCAAGGCGGGGGTCAGCCAGGGCTGGGGGCCCAACTAGCTGAAGAATAGATCTCTGGCTCCGACCGCATCCACCAAGATGCTACACGATAGTCTGCCCTCATCTAGAACCCCTCCATTAGCCGAGTTCTAATTTATCCAGGCATCCTTTCTATGCCTGCAAGGTTCCCGGGCAGCGGGAACGTGGTACATTCCTGTTCACAGATAGCCCGCCTGTAGCTCCCAGCCAATCTGGGATTTGATCAGCAAAGCATTCCTCCCCTTTCTGCTGGATTCATGTGCATTTGGGCAGTTTTCATCATTAGAGATAAACAGAATACATGCTGCTATTTGGAGGGGTGGAAATCAGCTTTAAAAGTCAGTAAGAAAGAAAAGACATGGTGAAGGGTTGGTCACAGGTCACTACTCCCTAGAAGGAGCTCAGGTAAGGTCCCCAAGTCCTTGTGACCTTACAACCATGACTTCTACTGTGGAGAAAGCAGAACAGGCCCTGTCTAGGAAGAGTTTTCTCTTGGACACCATGAGGCTGGTGGCTGGAGAGATTTGACAATACTCCCATTATACTGGCTCACTCTCAGACATTGGGAAGAACTGAGAGACCAAGGTGACCAAGGCGGGGGCTGCGGCCAACACAGAGTGGCTTCCTCTGCAGCCGCCTCTGATAAACCCTTCTCTTAGTTCACATTGGTGGCTGAGGAAACTTCCTGGCAGAGCATTTCATGTCTAGCAGAAGCCTTTATCTGAGCTGGAAAATAATGGATTTCCCTTTTTTGGACAAGTTTTTTATTTTCTTTTTTTAAACTCTCCCTCTTTCTCTTGGACTTCTTGTCCGAACTGCTTAACTCTAGAAAATAGACTTTTTGTTAACACATCTTGCTGACCATACCCCCTTCCTCCAACCAAGCTCTTCTGACGCTCCCAAGGAAACCTCCTGTGTTATGTCTGGGTAAGAAAGAACAAAGAAATAGCCTTTCTCTTCCTCGCTGCTTCCTCCTCCCTAGCACCCCAAGTCCTGCACTGGGCCTGCAAGAGGAGACTGGGTGGACAGAGGTGGGGCCAAGGAGAAATAACCTGACTTCTTCCTTATTTTCCTTCAGCACCATCTTCAGAAATCTAGAGCCTGCGTGGAAGAGCTGGGGAGAGGACTAGGTGGGGAGTCCCATCCCGGGCTCCCTCTGGGAAGGGAGCAGCAAGGTCTTGATGGGCACTGGGAGACTCATTCCCAGCCTGGGAGAACCGTGTACAATTATTTCACCTGGATCTTTCTTTTTCCCCTTCAACAGCCCTATTACCATATTTAAATGCAAGTATGTCTCTTTTCGTTGGCATTTTCAGTAGCTTAGCGTGACCTTTTTAGAGTAGCTCTTTCCCTTTTGAACGTCTCACCCTCCGTAGAACCACGTAGCTCGGACCATAGTCTTTAGAGTTTAGTGAGCTTCTAGTTGGCTCTGTGTGGAGGCTTTCTTCCTTCCTCTGCTCCTCTGCTCCCCGCTCTTCCGGTGCATGTCTTGTTCCGTTGTCCTGTGGAAATGCCGGACAGGCTCTGTGGCTGGTCGCGCAGCTCTTGGTGGGCGGGGGGGGGACTGTTTGGTGGGTTGCATCATTTAAAGAATAGCCCTGGAAGTAGGTCTTAGGATCAGGCTGCAAATGTCTGCCTAGTGGCAGAAGATGTCTGTCTCTCTGTTTGTGGAAGTGTGCCTGTATATACCCCAGTTTGTGACTTGTGTGTCAAGTTAGTGGCCAGAGAAGCCTACTAGAGAGGAAGGATTCAGCCCACCTCGCCTTTCCTGGGGACGTTCTGTAGGCACACTCACTCCTGCCTGGCCTAGCTTTGCTAGACAGTGCACATCTTAACCTGAAAGGATCCCTGGGTAGGAGCCGGGGCGGGGAGCACTCCCAATTGACTTCATCTGACGGTAGCCTCAGGTACTGAAGTCCTAGCTCAGTTCCCTGTTATTGCCATGGGGTGGGATGGGATATAATCTGTGGTGCCTGACAGATGCAAAGCCCTGGGTTCCATCCCCAGGATCACAGAGTATTATTATATATAATAATACAACTCTGAGGAGATCGAAATACCGAGCGGGATCACACAGAACCAACAGAGATCGCCTTCAGCCATCTGACATCTGGCCCCATGTGCATACTCACTTGGGAACCCCCAAATGCTTCACCCTCAGGCCTGGGGCCATGGTACTGAAGACAGGAAGTTTTGACCAGTCTAGAGCTTTAGATGACCAGACCTTTGGAGAACTTTTGGGAGTAAAACCATCTCTAGGTCCTGGCACCTTTTCTCTGAAGACGCCAGCTGCAGGTGCTTCCCGTCTCAGGGCTCCAGCTGACCCACCACCAGAATCTCTGTAAGGAGTAGCAGGCCAGGCCTGGGGCATCGTCATGCATCAGTACAGGGTCAACTGAGACCTCAACTCGAAAGACATAGGTCCTCCTCATAGCTGAGTCACTGCCGTGTGCTTCCTAGAAGGCACTTCTGGGATGACCAGTGTGTGAGAGTCAAACACCTAAGGATACTGTGCCTTCCAGAAGCCTGACAGCCCCTGAGCTGTGTCCCCCAGCGCTGTCTGTGAAGCCCTTCCTAGCTGCCTTTTGTGTGACCTGGGGTCCGCTGTGGCTCCTTCTGACTCCATTCTTCCCTCTCTCCAGGCTTCCCAGCAGCAGCATATGGGCCAGTGGCGGCGGCAGCAGTGGCGGCGGCTCGAGGATCAGGTAGGAAGGTGTGCGGGGCAGGCGGCTCCCAGGCATGCCTCGTGTGCAGGGGAAGGTAAAAGCCCTGCCAATCTGTGTGGCTGCGTCTGTCCAGCACCCCTCTCACCACAGCCCAGGGGAGGGGGTAGGGACAGGGAGGCGCCACCAAGGCCCGACCACCCAGGCCTGTTCCTACAGGAGTCTGCCACAGTTAGGGAACTGCAAACCCCAAGCAGAATTATGCTCCCATTAACAAAGAGAAACTGCCTTTCCCTTTGGCTTTGCACCGTCCCATCTCTAAGCCCAGGTTCTGGGCATTCTGGTCATTGCCGCCCTTGGCTTTGACAGGTTCAGAAGGTTCCCTTCCTTGGGTCTCTGATCCACGGAAGAGGCACCGAGTAGGCTCACTCTCCAGTCAGTTCTGACAGGTGGGCTTTTGACTCTGACTCAACTCCCAGAGCCCTTGAGGTCAGAGAAGGAGCGAGGCTGCTGGAGCCTTGAATCCCTGTTGTCACAGACTCTCTTCTGAGTCAAGCAGCCGCCAAAGAAACTGGAGCTTTCTCTCCCCTGACCTTATCCTAACCTTTAAAAGATCTGGAAGCCTCCAGTGGCTAGGGAGCACTTCCCCAGCAATACTGTAAGGTCCCGCCAGAACTGGGGTGTGTCACCCCACTGTGAGTGCCACGGGCTTCCTGCCACACACCCCCGCTGATAGCTGCTCCTTCCACCTTCTCCTCCCTCTGGAGCAGGTTGACTCCGGCTCTTTTACCCTGCCCTGCCTACCCACCCCACCTCACCCCACAGCCAGGGCTCTGGAGCACTCATAACTAGGCTCTGAAGAAAGTGGGCAGCTTGGGGTGCTGGTGACAGTACCAGGAAGTGGAGCATTAAAAGCCCAGAGGGCAAATGCCTAAAACCCGAACTGGCACAGTGAGGCTCATTAGAAAACGTCAGAGAAAATCCGTTCCATGCAAACTGGCACTGCCTCCAAGCTACAAAGGATCCTCTACCCCAAGATACCCACTGGAGTTTTAGGGGCCCAGGCAGGGAATTAACTGAGGGTGGGGGCTACTGAGGGGCAGTTTGCCAGAGATCTGGTGGTTAGCAGGCAGGCTGGGAAGTCCAAAGAGCTGGGCACTCTCAACTTCCATCCACCCTAGTCCCTAAAGCCACCGCCTCGCCCTCTGGCCAGCGTCCCTTGGTGTCCCTCCACTCCCAGGCCCTAGGAAGGGTGCACAATTGCATCGTGTCTTCCTGTTTCTGGTTTGGGGGTTTTTAACTTGAGTGTTTGGCGGGGGCGGGGAATAAAAGAAGTCTCATTCCTACCTGTGCCTGGGAGGAGAGAAGGATAAAAGAACAGTCTTGAAATTTGTGAGTGTTGATGTTTGTTTTCTCTGTTCAGTTTCTTTCTTTTGATAACTTTTGGATTATGAAACTAAACTTTAACCCGAAATTAACCCTGCCTCTCTTCCCACCCCACCCTGTTCCCCTTGACTTCATGGCAAGTTTAAAGGGCAGTATGGGATTCTTTGCGAGTCTGAGAGCCGTCTCCTAGTCTGTGCTCCCTTCTGCCACCCCTGTCCATGCACAGGACACCCCCCCTCCCAGAGCCAGGCGGGGGCCCCACTCACCCACCCCTCTAACTCCTAACCCTCAAGGTCATCTCCAACCACACATTTTGTTTCCAGGACCAGTGGTGTTTTATTTGTAGCCATTTCCATCGGGAGCCAAATCTCCCACAGACCATCAAGGTCAGCCATGCTCATCGCTGCACTGTTAGTGAATCGTATTCAGGAGTACGCTCCCCAACCCCCTGCCCATCCCAGCCTGGGTTAGACCGAAGAGTAAATCCTCAGCTTGAGGTACCCACCCAAGGGGAAACCCCCAGTGCTGCCTAGAGGCTGTAGGCTTGGGCTGTGCCCACTGTAGAGAGAACTTGGTCTCATATGCTCATGGAGACTACGTAGCCCAGCCCAGAGCCCCACCTTTGGACCTGGACCAAGTCTGTAAAGTTGGGAATGGAAACAGCCTTTTTCTTTGAACACAGTTTGGCCCGGAGGGGGACTGTCACCTTCTTCCCTTAAGAGGATGAACTGAGCCCTGAGCCTGGAAGGTTGGCCAGTTAATTTTCCTTGAGTGGTCCTTCATTGGCAACCACTCCGTTATGGATTAAGAAAGGCCACACATCAGTGAATGCCCCGTAGGGTTCCCAGGCACTGATGATCCGGTTTCCCTGTTCCAACTCATCAAACTTTGCCCTCCCCCCCCCACCCCTGCAGTTCTTCCCCTAAAGCTAAGGATGCTCCCCCAGCGTCCTGAGCAAGTAGCCTGCATTGGGGCCCTCACAAACTCCTTAGAATGCATTGGTTACCTTCCTGGAGCCTGGTACAGTGCCACACCTGACAAGTGACTACAGACTTCAGGAAGTGTGGCCTCTCCTTCCAGGGACTCCTGGACTTGGGTTAGGGGTTAGACGTCTTACGGAAGGCAATATTTTTGTCATTATTTTTATCTAGTCCCACCGTTTCAGTTCCCACCCCACCCTCACCCCTTCATTTTGACTTCCCTTCCCATGCTGGGAAGCACCTGCTGAGGGCCATGGAGGGTGGGAGGTAGCTTGGTTCTTTCTCGGGTGGCGACTTGTATCTGTCAGGGCTGTGGTATCGAGGCATTCAAGGGGGAGGCCTTGAGCTTCTGCCTCAGCCTGTTTCTCTGGGCTAGCCTGCCTACCTTTTCTTACTCCCCCCCAGAACCTGAGGTGAGCAGGTCCCAGGCGTCCCCGCAGGGCATCCCTCTGCCGACTCCTAGATAGCTTCACTACCAGTGGTCACCTTCCTTTCACGTTCACCTGGCAGTCTGAAACATCATCTTTTCTTGTGCTCAGTCCAGAGTTTGTTTATTTTTGGTCGTCCTCATTCAGCTCCCGCAGCTCCACCCCCCCATCACGTCCCATCCAAACATAAGTCCGGTTTGATAATTGACCAACCCCGCCCCCAACCTGAGGAAAAAGAGTACCGATTTTCAGGGTACTTCTATTTTGCGGTGACCTCATGGGTGGGTTTGTGTATCACTCTTAAGAGCTTGCAGAGCGCCCCCTGGTGTCACCCCCCCATCCCTACCCCCCCTCAGGCCCCGGCCAGGACCCCGTACTGTACTTTATACTTGCCAGCTTTGTTCCAGTCTGGTGACATGAGATCCTGATGGTGGTGGTGAGTGTGGGCAGTCATGTTTCTGTTGTCTTTTCTCTTGCTTGGTTGGGGCTGCGGTGAGAGAGTGTCTCTGAGGCATACTTTCCCGCCTCTCTTACACTAGGACCTGCACACCTCCTCTCAAACACTCTTCTGAGCACGCTCAGCGGGAAGGTTTGTCCACACCTATTAATCCTCTCTCAGTGTCCAGCTTCCTGTTAGTACCAGCTGGTTTGCATGTTTGCTTGTTCAGATGAAACAGTTCAAGAAACAAACTCATATCCAACTCTCGAGAAATGTCTTTTTTTGTACACTTTCGTTTTCTATTTTTTTTATCAGTTACAACTCCAAAACACCTGTTGTCTAGTAAAACATTTCACACCTCCCTTGCCTGTTCTTAGATTGTATGTATCTGTGGGACTGAACTAAATGCATGCACTGTAGTAGATGTCCTGGTAGCTGTAGCTGTAGTTGTAGAACATGCATTGTTGAGTTGATATTACAGGGTCTCCGAAGGCGTGGCCCAACACCGCCATCCGAAGGATAGCATGGGGACCAGGAAAGAGAAGGGGTTCCATGTTTTCAATGTTGCCAAGGGGCTTGGATCCATGTTCTCGCCATCAGCCACCACCACCTCTCCTCACGATCCCCACTCTCCCAGTCTAGAACTGGGTCACCACCCCTCAGCTCTAGCCCACCCAACCGAGATCCGTGCTCACCATAGCGGGAACGAGTGGAGCCAGAGTTGGAAGGAGTCCGCTGGTTCTTCCAAGTTCTTATCTTCCCCACACTGTTCTTGACCAAAGCAACAGATCTTTTCTTGGTTTTTTGTTTTTGTTTTTTGTCTTCTAAGGCCGTTGGCCAGGCTTCTCTAAGCTCAGCTTCTCCTTGAGCCCTTCAGGGACACAGGTCCCTATGAGACAGTCAGCCTGTGTCATCTGCTGCTGTGGGTGGAGGGAGCTGAGATGGGGCCGGGAAGGGACAAGAGCTTCGGCCCCTGCAGACAGACAGTACCTTTGGCTCTGGTTGATGTTGGCATTGGCTCTTAGGAACGGTGATGATGAAAGGGGCCAATGGGGTCAATGGTGGCCCAGTATCCCTAGTGGTGAGGTGACTGGTACAACTTTGCAGGGAAGAGAGAAGTACAATGGGCCTGGGACAGCCAAAGAAGAGGTCACCCAGTTTCCCCCTAGATCTCTCTAGAAGGGTTTTCTGGAGGGGACCTTTGTTTTCTTCTTGGGGCTTGTGTGACCAACAGTCTTTGGACACACTGTCTTCTCTGCATGTGTGACAAACCATAAGGGAGCACGAGAGGCCTCGGAGCTTCCGTACCTAACTTCCTGAGACCATATGAAGTGGGGATATTAGTTACTACCCAGAACTGTGTGTCAAGTCAAGGTGCTCAGCATTTGACAGGGGCATGGGTCAAGACCTTATAGCATACAGGTTATCTACCACGGGCCATAGAATCCAGGATGGTAGAACGAAATAGAAGCCTCGAGGGGAAATAAAAGCAGCGATGCTCTGGCAGTGTTAGAACAGATAGGAACTGAGCGTGCGCCGGGCCAGACAGAATGAGGACAGCAAGGCTCCAAGTGGAAAAATTCAGGAGGAGCCATCCTTCCAGCAAGGTCTCCCTGGGGACAGGGGAGGTCGGCAGAAGAAAATGGCTGAGACTTGGCTTTCATGCTGCTGCCGATGCAAACTGACCTGGGGCTGGGGAGTAGGGGCAGCAAATGAGAGCAGAACCCCTGGTGTCCTGCATCCTGCATCCCAGGACAGTTTGCTGAGAAGGAGGCTCTGGTGCTGTAGTCTGGACCCCTCAGAGCTCCA